AATGCCAAGGTGTTGCTCGATACGGGCTAACGTTTTATGGCATGTGGAGCAACATGACGCATCCAAATGCTTTTCCTTTTCCTTCGGGCCATTTTTCGCCTCTGGTCGGCGCCTCGCACGAATCTGCCTACTCTTTGTGGATGTCGGGTATGAAAGCTTCTCAAGGAGTGAAAAATGTTGCTGAAATGGGTAAGTTTCTCGCTATGTTCTGCTCAATTTTGAGACGAACGAAACTGAATTCAAAAAGAAGAAACTTTAAGAGGTCGGTAAACTGAATTCAAAATTTTCACTGAACAGTAGTCCGGACTCTTATAGAAGGGCTCGCTTGTTTCATGACTGGTCACAGTACCCTGCGTGCTTGCGTCAACTCCTCTCTTTCTACTAATGTAGGGGTTTTAGACGTCACAGTGGTTGCGGCAACGAGAACTTCAAAAAAGCAATAGTTTAGATGGGCAAAACAACAACTTTGCACGTGCGTCACACTTTTGTATGGAATGCCGTTTGTATCAAAAATACTTCTTACCATATGTAAACCTTTACATTAAATATATAAAACATTTTGCTTTATGAATAAAACTTCTTAATTTTAGTATTAAGGTTATAGTGCACAATTAAAACTTGTTACAAAATATATAAAACTTGTTGAAAAATATAAAACTTTTCATGATATATAAAACTTGTTCAATATAATAAAACTTGTCACGCAATCCTGAAAGGTGCAGGGGCGGTTGCTTGGCAAAGGGTTGGTTCGCAGTCTCTTTTTTAGTCCTCCATCATGGCGGATGATTTTACATGCATTTTGCGCGATGAATTCGAACGATTTATTGAAGAACTTCGATACGAAGAGTTGAGGCAAAGTATTTTTACTGAAGAATTAGAAGTTGCAGAACGATTACTTGCCCTTAGCTTGCCCTTTCAGAAAGGATTTGCCGCGAATTTGTGTTTTTCCTTCGCATCTTTGAGTCTCTGAACTGCGATATCAATGAGGACATAACTGAGCTGATCAAACAACTCCTTAAATTGTGCGAAGGTCTAACTAGAGAGCGCGTAAATTGGCTTGAGGAAGGCCGTGATGACAATAGTTTTCGATGCCCACCCGAACCCGTCGACGAAGGCAATGCAAGGTCAAGAGGAAGGCCGCGGTAAACACAAATTCGTGGCAAATCCTTTCTGAAAGGGCAAGTAACCGATCCGCAACTTCTAATTTTTCTGTAAAAATACTTTGCCTCAACTCTTCGAAGGGAAGTTCTTAAATAATCGCTTGAATTTATCGCACAAAATGGATGTAATATCATCCGCCATGATGGACTCCCTTTTATGTTCCTCTCCCCTCATTACGGATAGTTTTCTTTAATTTGTCCCTGGGGAAAGAAAGCCCTTACAGTTTCCCTGAATTCAACCCGCTTGATACAGACACCCATTAATGCTGACAACGGACTGTAATAAAGAGAAAAAGTTGTTACGTCACGTTGCCATGGTAGCAAAATTTTTGGATGACAACAAACCGAAAATTCACTTAAAGAGTAAATTCGCACTGTTTCAAACTTCATCGATCTAATTCAAATTTCATTTAATTTGTCAAATGTTGGCGAAATTTTCTAGATTTAATCCGAAAGGACCGTATGTGAGTTTAGAAAAAGAAAAAGAAACTTTTTGCGTTGTGTTCGCCTACTCCGTAAAGCGGGCGCGAGAAATTAGGAGGTTGTCTCAGATGTGCAACGTCGACTGCTAAGAAATGTACCAAAAAGGCGTGATGCACGTTCAAAGTTGTTGTTTTGCTAATCTAAACTTATCGGGTTTCTTTGGCGTTCTCGTTACTGTCGCTGTCATCGTTGCTTAATCTCGGCCTTACTGTTGTCATCCAGAAATTTGCAATTGGCTACCATGGTAACTTGACGACACACTTTTCCTCTCTCTTGAAGGTAAAAAATCATTCAGTTGCTAGCATGTCGATAAGTGTTCCCGTGGACTTAAGCCCCGTGAAGACAGCAAAGTAAAAGTTAGAGAAGTTTAATTTGACGATGCTTATGTCCTCTTTTATTTCCTAGTAAAACTTATGGTTTTTTCAGTTAACTTTAATAACATGACGAGGGTGATACCGACACTCTCTGTGATCCGGCTTCAGTGTCCGTATTAACGGGCTTTGGTTGGAGTACTGTTTTTATAATTTGGGAACAGGAAAAAAAAAACACAACTAAGGAAATGAGTGGAATGTGGTTCAGCCGGCACTTGAACCCAGTACATTTAAGAAAATTTCCTGAATCTGTACACCGTCTTCAAAACGTCTTCACGGAGATAGCATTAGCTGCTTAGGACAAGCTGCAACCCACGCTGATTAAGGCATTTTCAAAAGGGAGCCAGCTTAAATAGCCTGAAAGATCAACCGCCTTTTCATCGCCTTAAAGCATCAATATGGCTGCCGCGATGAAACACTCAATTTTGAAATGATATCAAAGAAGTCAAAGCCTGTTTATCCTCGCATTGCGCATCCTCTTGATGCCGAGAATATGGAATGCTATATTTTGGGAGATATAAACTGTAATGTGGGTTCGTCCACTTAGGATCACAAAACAACGCGCATCAATGAGCTCTAAATCAGCTAATTAGTGAACCAACTCGATCACTAATGAACATTAGATAAAATAACTTTAAAGCATGTTTCAGTTTTCTATGAGTTTACCGGCACAATAAACCATACGTTTTTAACCAATCAGAAGGCGCGTACTATCTTAGTTATTTTGTAAAAATCAATAAACGGTCTTGCTCCAGATTACTTGATTAACCTTTTTACTCAGACCGTGATAGTGTCACCTCATATTCGCTAAGAGACACTGACAGCAAACTGGCTCCGATTCCTCAGCCCCACACAAACTACCTAAAAAAGAGTTATTGATAGCTATAGGGATGCAGTGCTGTGGAATAGCCTCCCAATCGAGTTGCGGCGGGCAGATACTCTGCAAAGTTTTAAAGCGGGTCACGTTTGCAAATTTTTATCTCATAGTCCGGAGTTTTTTTTTAGTTACGCATTTAACCTAGCTTCCTGCCTACCAATTCTCATTTTTTCATGCCATTTTTAATAAGGTGACTCAACCGTGCTGGAGCAAGAAATAATGCAACGCATCACGTCTACCAAGACAGCATGGAAA